TTTTAAGGATGCTGACTGGCTGACTGACTGCCAGAATAAAAAATAGGACTAATATAACAAATATATAGAGACGAAGAGGGGAGACTTATCATGATCGAATCTTAAAGACTTAACTCAGATTTAATCTCAGTCGTTCATCAATCTCTCTCCCCCGACAGCGGCGGAACAAGTGCTTTGTAAAATCTGAGCCGTCGATCACACAACGGCTTCCCCTTTTCCACCCGCTTATTTATTAGACGCTCCTATTCCTTTCCGCTCCACCGTGTTCTCTCTCTCTCTCCCTTTCTTTCTTGAAGATTTGTTTCATTTTCCTTGGGTTTCCAAGATCGGAGGAGGGCGGCAACCGATCGAGCGAGGCGGCGTCGGGCATCATGGATTTTGACGAGCGCCAATGTTGGAGAAGGCGGTATAAGAGTCCTATATGCGGACGGAGTGCTGCTCGGGATCTCGGCACCACGGGAAACGTGGCAAGGACAACGGAGATGATGGAGAGAGGAGGGACTCCAACGATCTACGTTGAGAAAGCAGGTACCATCTTATCTCCTTCGTTTGGCCTTCTTTCTTGGTTTTTCTTTTTGGTTTGCTTCCGAGATAATCATTAGATGTCAGTCAGGAGAAACTCTTTCTTTCATCCCTCACTGTGTCTCACGGTGTTGGCACCGTGTGACAGATCTCATGTTTGGTTTATTTCAAGAAGACTTAGAGTCGAGGGAAATTGACACATCAGGGAAAAGTAAAAGAAAAACTCTTGCAAGTATAATGGTTGATCACCTCTTTACTATTTATTGTATGGTTTCTTTAAATGTATTCTTTTATTGCGTCAAAGGTAGCCGCCGATGGGGGGGCTACACTTTGTTTAAGTCTTTAATGCTTACTAGTGTTCACTTTGCTTTCTAATTTCGCATGTTTGATTCTGACCGAGGCCCCTAAACTAGTGTTCAATGATTTGGGTTTCATTGAACATTTTGACTGTAAACAAACAAGATTTATTATTTAGAGTTGGAATCTTTAAATTCTTTTCGCTTGTACTTCAAGGTTTGATGATGATGGCCATCCACAATCTTTTTTTGACGTTCCAACATGCTACGGTTTGAAGACCCTATCATGCTTGGCAAGTTTTATCAACTTTTTCTACTTGCTGATTTGTTATAGGTTAGTGAAACAGCATTTTGGTTTTTTTGATGATTATCTGGTGATTTATTAGATTTCTTCTTTCTGTGGCTCCACATACTTTTTTATTTGGTATATTTGATGATGAGAAAGACTGCTTCTTTCATGGGATTTAAAATGTCATATGCATGCCAGAGCTCCCTGTAAGTGAACTCTCATGTAAGTAGTTGCTTCTAAAGCAGCATATCTTTTGGAATTTTATTGTAGTTTCCAGGTGAGGGATGTTCTTGTTATCATGGATCAAAACCCAAGAATGTCAAAAGGAATTGGGTCTCTCTCTCTATCAAACACACGACTTTATGTTGGCTAGCACTATTATTTGCATGTATTTATTTTTTGGGTGATGCCAAGCGATATACTATGAAATTCTCCATTATTAATCATCAATTTCTACAAGAACCTTTACACATTCTATTTTCCATGATATAATTTAGACTCTCGAGTTTGATTGTAACACTTAAATTTATGTTCTTTGAAGTGTGGAGTTTGCTTATGGGGTTTAGCTTATGTTTCTTACCAAGTTATGATAAGCAATTTTGTTACATATAGTTAAACACGTGTTGCTGCTATCTTGCCTAAACAAATATCTAGTTGTATATCTTATGATAAATTATTTCCTGTTATTATTGCTAGATATGTCCTTTGGTTTCCTGAATTTACATCAAAGGAAAATGGCAAAAAGTGCCCCCAAGTTTAATCTGTGGCTTCGAGGATGGACACCTCTCAAATGGTGGTAACCTTTCACAGAAGTCTTCTCACTTGGAAGAAACCTCCACCACTTCAATTCTGTCTTTTTAGACCTCAAGCCCTTCTTCACAATTTTGTGGGAGAAATCCCTTTTAGTTTGGCATGGACCTAAAATTTGTCTGGGAATTCTTTCGCTTAGAATTTTGCTTCTAGGTTAAAAGTGTCATTTTTTAAGTATATCCTACATGTTCTTTGATGACTATGATTTGATATAATATATTTCAGTATTTTTGTTTAATGGTGGTGTATTTAACGCATATTCTATTATACCTATCTAATAAAATCTTGTCAGGAACACATGTTTTTATGACTTTTTTGATTCTGCATATGTTGTGGATTGGTCCTTTGCCCCACAAAATTCAGGAGAACGCGGCCATTAAGCATTCGACGCCACTGTCCACAACAGTGGGATGCTACGTGTGACATTAAGATCTTACTATAAAATTATCACTTATGTTAACAGAAACCGTAAAATTATTTTCTGCAAATAACTTTTCCAGTATCAAATTACTTTCTGATTCTATTAACTAACTTAACTGTCCCAGTAATATTAAGAAAAGGCTTACAGCAAAAAACAATATTTAAGAGAAGAATCATATCTAATCATCAAATTCCAGAAACCACCTGATAAATAATCATATACAATTAGAAAATATAAATAATATTCTCTCTTGAACAACATACAAGCAGATCTATTTAGCACAACAATTAAAAAAATCACCCACTCGATCCATCGTCAAATCCATCAAACATTGATGGATTTAAATAACCTTTGAAAATTCAAGTTCAATTTAATATTCCACCGTACAAATTGATGATATTTTACTTAAAAATATACTATAACTATAGTAACTATAATTATAAACCTCAAAACAACCAAGAGACCGCTGAGTTCCATGGACGTCAAACGCACATCATTCTCATAGGAATGATGCGTTATCAATTTATACTGCAGCATACTTGATATGAATCAGATGTCCTTCAAATTCAACTAAATATACAAGTTTAATTAACCCAAAACAAAGATCTGGGGTTGCATATGCATTGCAAGATATTGACAAGTCAGTTATGGTTCTTACAGGCATAAAAAATCTGCACTTGTAACCATGTAAAAAATATTCACTTTATCATCATCATGTAAAGTACTACACAAGATCTCAGGAAATTCGAAAGCAAGTTTACAAACTAATACAATCGATTTAAAATGATACCCTCATTGAATGTCATTACTGCCCTTGATCGTTGTATTGTTTCTACTTTTCATTGGAAAACAAGTTCAAGTCCTGCCAGGGCAGCTAAGCTAGCATTTGACATAGAATTGAGCAGTTAATGTATATATTTATTTCACTTTATAAATACAAAGCTCAATCCCCTAAATTTTTCACCACCCTATTCTCAATTAGCCCAATGGTGCAAATATGAATAATACATGATATCCTTAGATGTCAGTTGATAAGTGCTAGATATGACCTTCTTATTACCTCCTGGATTATAGCTTGTCTCATTTTCCTAAGTCACACTCAGTTTGCCACAATTTCTGAAACATGCCGGAGTTGCTTATGCATTTAAGAAAAGAATAGCGGCAACACTGATGCATATCTAGATTCACAAGCAGAGATAAAAAAAGAAACACACCCAATCATAGTTGCAAAAGAAACATAAACGAGGGAAGAATGCATACATATTCAGAATCCGGAAAAACACAATGCTGATCTTTTAATTGAAAATGAATAAGCCTGTCAAAAAGCTCAGACGCCAATCTCATCAGCATAAGCTATAAACAAATATGTAATAAGACAAGATCCAAAGGAAGAGAACGAAAAAAGTAAAAGAACATGGTTCTTGGATAGAAACATGACAACTGTTGGACTAACTGAAGAAGAAAGATCATTCTGTAAACACATCAAGAATCTTAGATTGGTCGAAATTGATAGCACAAAATCCCACACACTTAGAGAAGAAGAAGATCATTCTGTAAACACGTTAAGAATCTTAGATTGGCTGAAATTGATTGCACAAAATCCCACACGCTTAAGAGAAGAAGAAGAAGATCATTCTGTAAACACATCAAGAATCTTAGATTGGTCGAAAT